GGGGGGGGGGGGGTTCGTGACACTTCAGCCCCACCTAAATCTCCATCCAACGTGAGGTACTCTGGTTTTCATCCCCAAGCCCGAAACCCTCTACCAGAACAAGCCTCTGTACCCCAAAACTCTAGACTCTAAATCCCTAAATNNCTAAATCCTAAACGGCCCTGAACCTTAACGAACCATGACCCATGTCGGAGGCCTGCTTCAGATCCATCTCTGCGACATCGTTCGCGTGGTTGATAAGTTTCTGTCGAGGCACTGTATTTCTCAAATTTGGGTTTAGGGTTTAGGGTTTAGGGCCCAAAGTACCTATATAGTCGAATATAGGGGTTCTATATTAGGAATTACGGTTGTGGTGTTTGGAAGTGTGCCCCATAACAGTACCTAGGACCCTTTGTATTTCGCATGCAAACTACACACCGGGGGGCGGGAGGACAGGTAAGGGGGTTTGGGGTTAAATATAGGGGCCTAAATGACTACCTGTACTATTTTGGGGGGTCCTGGCTGTAGATGTAGTATACTGGGCCCTAAACCCTATTCTAATTATTTAATGCCCCCATATTATTAATTCATTGCAGGTTTAAGATTTTTGTTCAGGGCTGTATATGGGGGCCTTAATAATTAAAACGGGTTTGGGTGTACTTTTTACTATCAGTATAGTAAGCAACCCCAAAATCCAGTTCTAATTACTAAGGCCCCTACGTTACTATTATAGGGCTTGAGCTATAGGGCAGACCAACCTAAGAGCAGCTTTGGGCAAAAGCTGCTTGGATCACATAGGCCTCCAGGTTAAACAGAAGGAAAGCTGTTTAGGGTTTAGGGTTTAGGGTTTGTGCGTGTCTTTGGGCAAGGCTTTCCACCGTTCGCGGGTTTGCACCGTTGATACAAGGCATCACGCTTCTGCTTGTTCTGGCTTTCGATGCTGTCACATCGGGCGCCAGCCGCTGCGGTGCTTTCTCACAGGTCTACCCTCGTGCCGAAAGAACAGTGGGCTGATATCAACAACCCTTTCTGTGTCGGCTGCTCCTCATCCCTTAAGCCCAGTCCCGAAAGAGAACATAGCCAACTCATGGGGTCTTGCACTAGCGCTTCTGGGGGCAACCTGAGGTTGATTACGTCTGCGAGCTTCTGTAAACTAGGTCTCTTGTCAGAACTTTTTATAGCCCATGCTCGACAACGTGCATGAAAAGCAGCTGTCATTTCAAAAAACGGGCTCAGACTAGGCCAAATCTCCGGATGTCCTGAATGGACTCGATGTCGCCAGTGCTTCTGTCGAAAAGTCCTGCGACTAGAGTAGACTGGGAAAGTAACTACGATGGCGATAACCAGAACGTCGAAAAGACAAAAACTGGAGAGCGAGCCACAATCGCCATCATACTACAGTATCACTATTCTTCCTAGTATTTTTGTTACGCTTGTTATGACTACTAGTAATACTTGTCTTCTTCTTCTTCTTCGAATTCGGGTCCATCTTCTCGTCGCGTGTGTGAGAGACGTGCAGAGGGGTCTCTATGGAGAGTGTTCATGCCTGGCTGTGTAAGTGCGATTGCGGTGATGGAGTTTGCGGTGAACCCTAAACCCTAAACCCTAAACCCTTAAAACTTAAACCCTAAACCGCGCATGGCGGTGATGGTGACGCCCATCACGGCGGTGGGGATAATCCGACCCCAACTTTCAGGCGGCTTTTCTCGTCTGCAGTTCCGGTTTAGGGTTTAGGGTTTAGGGTTGCATTGAGGCGCACTATACCCTGAGCACGAGCTGAGGTCTGATTGGCACATGTAGGCATGTGGGAGAAGCAGTTGCAGGGTCCAAAAGCACTTGGAACGGCTCGCGAAGCCATAGCCCGAGGAGGAGATAGAAGATACTTCGGCTCAAGTGAATCGGCTTTCATCTTCTATAACTCTATAAATATACTCTTCTACAGTACTATGCTATACTGAAACATACTATGATGTTTACTCTCAGCCTTACCGGGACGTCTCAGGTGTCTTGGCCAGGACAATTTACGTAAGGGGTTGAGGGGAAAGCTTGATTTCAGAAGCCAAGGTCGAGCTTTTGACGTTCAGGAGGGCTTAGGGTTAAGGGGTTTAGGGTTTAGGGTTTCCAACACATCTCTCATGCCTTTCTGAAAGGACAACTCGCTGCCCAATCGAGGAGGGCTTGCACATCTTAAGAATTGAGAATGAGCACTCTTGAATACTTTGGACAAAGCTGGCCGAAGCGTCGCCAAGAGCAAGCTCTTGAGAGCAAGAGCAAACGAACTGAAGCAGGAGCACGGTTCACGTGTGTCTGCGTGTGTGTGTGTGTGTCTCTGTGTGTGTGTGTGTGTGCGCGTGCGCGCGTGTGTGTGTGTGTGCGCTCAAGTCAGTCGCTTGATTTGAACAAGCAATCCTTCTAGAAAGAATATGCCATACATCGCAGGGGTGCCCGCTGGAAACATCTATACATTGAAGCTCTACAAGACCTAAAGATACTTAAAGAAAGTTGAGGCTTCTAGGCGCCGACAGTCCCTGTTCTTTCATGCATAGGTCCGCTGGCCCAGCGGACATCATGGAAACCCTTTCGTGGTGCATTTTCGCCTTCTGAAGCCTTGTCGAAGACACAAGCTTTGTCGACCCTAGACCCTGAAGCCCTGAAACCCGGCACCCTGAAGCCCTCACGCCCTAAAGCCCCCAAATTCTCTAAGCCCTAAAGTTCTAAAGATAAGGGTCCCTTAGCCCGTGGCCCTGGGTGATCTCGCTTTTCTTGGATGCCACCACTCATGAGAACAAGTCTGCCGAGGGATTTGGGGCTTAAGGCCGTTGAGCTCTGCAAGTAGAAAAAATGTGTTCATGCGTACTCCGGTACTTCGAAAGTACCGGAGGGCAAGCGCTCAACAAGTTAGCATGCAGTCTCACGACAAAAAGCTGTACATCCCAATCACTGAACTTGAAAATGCATCGAAGAGCCCACGTTTGTGGAAGGATGCACGTGGAGTCGGTCGTCGTTAGCGTGGGAGGTTCTAAATAGGAGACTTGTGACGAAAGAATCTTCTCCAGTCGCCCAAGCAAATGGCGGCGGCAAGTAGGGAAATGGTTGAGCATGTGACGATCCCATAGGTTGGTATGGAAAACACAATGGCCGAATGAGCCATGTAAACGACAAAAAACATGATGCCCATTAAAGCAGAGCAGGCCAGGTTTAGCATCACCTCCCGGCATCTTGTGGATCGGCGCTGCTGAAAACGACGCGGGATCCGCAGCCATAGCGCGACGAGCACAGGGATGGTTCCCAGCCACATGCTCAATAAGTAGGTAGCGTTTGAAAAAGCCAGCCATGAGTCTCGTATGACCCACAAAGTCCGGAGTCCATAATCAACGCCTAACCACGCAATCGGAATCGTAGCTCCTGCGAGCCAAGCATATGGCACCAAACAGCTCATCACACCGCACTGGAACGCTGCAGAAACGTCTTGCTGGACAAGAGCATCAAAAGCCGTGTCGGAGCCAAACCAGTGTTCAAGGCATCCACTAATAGCCTGGCGGTCGCAAATCATCCTCTCTCCCGTTTTGGGGTTCACGTGTTGCACGCTGCAACAGTAGCAGCGTGTGTCATTGCGGAACGAGAAAGTCCGCAGCTGATCCTGCACAGTACTTGCAGCCCGAAAGTGGGCTCGAGCCACAGCGGTCGTGAAATACACGAAAACCATCACAGAGGCAGCGAAGACAAATGCAGATACCGCCGCTACGGACCCTGCGACTTGAAACTCAAAGTGCTGGACCAGAATATCCTTAGGCGCTGAGTATCCTAGCCCAAACAAAATGGTTGTCCTTGCAGAGTATGGCAGGATGATATAACCCCCCAAATAGTTAAACGTTGCCTTCTCATCTTACTAAGTGTCTGCAACCGCCAGCAGTATGGCCACGGTCAGGAACGCAGCAACGGCGCTCGGCGCTCGGTCCCCAGCCGACAGGCCTTATGATCAGTGGACCCTCTGGATGACATTTCAGGTACGCGGCTAGCCTGGGTCCGTGTTGGGACAGCAAGAAAAGATTCCTTTATGGGACTCGCATGTAGAGCACTAGAACTAGGAAACCCAAGCTAAACATAAAAACAATAAAAACTAGAAAGGATGTGTAAGATTGACCAAGTAACTCTACCGTACACCACATGCGGTGCATGTAGCTTGGATCCCAACACACCAGCAGGCTCTGCGAATGCTTCAACAGTGCTGCTAAGTTGAGCATGCCTTCGGCCTTCAGCCTCTCGTCTTTCTGGTGGATGCAGATTCTATCCAGAAAAACTCGTCTGCGAGATGGCCATGTCAGCAACGTGAGGCTTGAGAGAACAACGCCCGCCAGCATACTCCAAGCTGCAGCGTTGGGCACAGTAGGCCGCAGCTCAAACTCCGGCTGCAGGCCGATCCGCACGGACACAAAAGCCACCGAGCCAACCAGAACGGCTGGCAAGCCGTTGTACACCACAAGAAGCAGCAGGATCTTGGACACAGTATTGTTGCCACGCCAGGAGTGCGACCAGAACTGGGCAATGTGTCGCCTCACTTCACTTTGATGGTAACGGTCTGGTCCGTTGTGCCCTTCACGGAAAGCACGTCCAAAGCGCCAAAGTGCATGCCGTGCCTGGGTCACTCTTACCACCTCCGGCCTGGTGACCTCAAGGCGCTCCAGGAAGTCCTTGAGGAGATCAATTTGTGCTTGAATTTCCTTGGCTGACTTCTGAACCCCTCCTCAAACTTAAACTTTTAGCCTACTTCTTATAGTTCATATAGAAACCCAAAGAGTTACATAGAGTCCTAAGAGAGCCAACCAGAAGAACGCCAAGGCTCATCATCCTCCAGGCCTTCTTGGTCGATGGGCTCTTGCTGCAAAGGTGCAGGGTCAACCGCAGCACAGGGCTCGGTGTTTGGAATCGCTGTCTTCTCGTCTGGCACAGCTTCATTTTCCAGCGAATCTGAATCCATGTAGAGACGACTTGGGGAAGCTATGCACAAACGCTAGCTGAGTCACTTCAGCCCAAATTGGCTGTAAGAGACCAAACTGCGGAATGCAGCAAGCGGCGCACTGCAAATGTGGAGTCCAACGAGCTGTTGGCGATGGGATTGAGCGAACTTTATCCTCATGAAAAACATGGAAAACAGCGAACTTGAGTACCAGAAACCCTAAACCCAAACAACACAATCACAAGGGTGGAGTGCAAGGATGCTGGCAAGATCGCAGCTGGACAGAAGAGAGGCCCCTTGTGGACCCCGGATCACATCATATTATCTCCGATTTGTTTGACGGGGTGTATTAAGCTGAACACCCCATTAATACGTAAGACCTCATAATACAGATCAACACATGTTCTTCACCAAGAGCGCTGGACTGCATTATAACACCAACTGCGACCGACTGAGCATCTGGCAGAGCACAGGTGTCGGTGCACCCCTGGCCCTGTCTGCAGTTTAGTGTCGAGTCTACTTGGAGGTTCACGGGTAGTTGTAGGTGGCCATCCATCCATCCATCCATCCATCCATCCATCCACCCACCCACCCACCCACCCACCCATGCATCCATCCATCCATCCACCCACCCACCCATCCAACCATCCATGCATATAGCACAAATACACATACACACACAGCTAAATGTATACATACACGGACGCATAGGCATATGCAAACGCAGGCACATGCACAGACACGTGGAAATAGACATCGACATATACGTACCTACCTACCTACTTACCTACCTACCTACCTACCTACCTACCTGCCTACCTACCTGCGTACCTGCTCTCACTTGGCGGAAATTTTTCGTCACTGCACGGCAAGATCTTGAGTGCCGGGCAGCTATAGCTGGTCGAAGTTGAGGTATGCCCACTACCGTTTCACTAATCCCAGCAGGTCGATTCCTGCTTTGAGACTTGAATCCCAACCGAAATAATTCGTTGAAGACCCTACAGCTCCGAGTACAGGGGCCTCAACTTGCTTGGCTTCGGGTCTTTCGGGGTACTTTCTAGTATAACTAGCTATCATATGGTGAAATCTTATAAGGAACCCTATGAATAATGCTATTATATTTTCAGGTTTCTATATTGAACCCCATCACCCTGAACCCTAAGAGCCTAAGACAGCATCACAGGCGCGGCGCTTCCGCGCTAGCCACAGAACAAAACCTGCAGCCGTCAGTGCGTCGTTGCTAAAGAAAATCATGAAGGTATCGGGGGGCGGGGGGGGGGGTGGGTTGCCTAATCCTAAAGTAATCCTACACTAACAAGTTGAAACATGATTTTGACCCTCTGCTTAAACATTGCCTATCCATTGCTTATCCTGATGTAATCCCGAGCCTTGTTTCAACTTAATGTGACATGCCCTGGCTTGGCACTTGGATTTCGCTTGCTGTTGCGCCGCGCGAATGTTTCTGTGTTGCTCTGTCTAGGGTTACGGGTTTTGCCCAGTTCCGGACCCCCCAAATCCCACCGTACACTCGGTAGTCTCGGTAATCCGACGCTAATCCGACACTAATCCCCGACCCCCCCCCCAATTCCGGACCCCCCCAAATCCCACCGTGCTCGTATTCTCGGTAATCCGATGCTAATCCGACACTAATCCCCGACCCCTCCAATTCCGCAATCGCTGGAGGCTGTCGGGAAGGGAGTTTCTCCACCTCGGTACTCCATCATTAATCCAGCACTAATCATAACCTGTGGCTATCCTGCAACAATCTACTGCTTAAACTCAACTAGTCCCACACTAACCATGTATGAAGATGATGAATGAAGGATTAAGAGACCCAGCCCCCCCACCCACCCACCCATGATTTCATGTTTTGAAACAGGGCGCCCTTTCGTTTTCAATAAACACCACAATAAAAGGATAAAGTGGTGCCACCCATAGGCTCCATAGTAGTTCCTTTTGGGGGTTTATATTTAGGGTTCCATACGGTAATCCCAAAAAGGGAACTACTATGGAGCCTACGGGTACTGCTGTGGAACCATCGATGCTACAGGGCATCAACGGGGACTCCTCTGCATGCCATCGAGAGCCTTCAACTCAGAAACTAGGACTTTATATCAGAAAACATATACCATATACCAATCATATAACCTCCCACATAACACTTAAAATGTAACATACTTAACATGTCATATGTATGATTTTATGACGTTATTTTGCAAATGCAGGCAAGATCTGCAGCTGCTTTGTGCTCGCGGTTTCTGGACACTCCGGCGCATCCTGTTTGTTCATCTTGGATACAAGCGCACTCAGAGAGGCTAGGGTTTACGGATTTGGGTCTAGCGGGTTTAGGGGGTTAGGGCTTCGGGGGGATTTTAGGGTTTAGGGTGGCTGGCCCCTGGAGGTTCTCCGGAGACCATGTCTTGGTATAAGAGAAGAACTTGTTGCAAGAGCTCGGAAGTACCGCAAATACCACCGATTTTGCACTTACGGAACATAGCTATGCTACTCGGAACATGTTGACTTCGGGCGTACTTATAGCTGGGAAGTACGCACGCGAAGATGTTAGAAAGCAAGGTTTAGGCACACATCGAACAACGAAAACATGCGAAAACTCGAGGTTTTGTCTTCTGTGATCGCGCAGTAAGATTGGAAAACATGACGAAACCCCTGCGTTCCATGGTGTATTCGCAAGAGGGCACCGGACTCATTGGTATTTGCAGTACTTCGTACACCTCGACAGAAACAAGGAATCCCGATAGTCGTGGTTTTATGTGGTGTTTCGCTTCACAGTTATGGGTTTCGTCTGCTGCTGCCTGAAAGAAAACATGCAAAAAACTCGAGGTTTTGTCGTGTACAAGTGCAGAGAAGCACTTCAGCACATCAGGAAATCCTTGCGTTTCACGGTGCATTTGCAACAGAGTAGCCAATTCACTGGTATTTGCAGTACTTCGCACATGTGGAGAAAGACAGAGTTTACCGATAGAGTTGGTTTTATGCCGTTTTGGGGTTTAGACTTTAGCAAAGGAAATACCAGCATCATGAACCATATCATCATCAAGATCATCATGAATATCATCATCAAGATCATCATCAACATCATCGTGAACATTATCATGAACATCGTCGTGAACATCATCGTGAACATCATCATGAACATTATCATGAGCATCATCCACCTGTCGCGAACATCATGTCGCCATCGCAATGTCGCG